ATGTGAGAGCCTGGTCCGGTGAGAACCCGGCGTGCTCCGTCCCGGCTTTGTAGGGATGCGAGGTCAATGGTCTAACGACTACGGCATGCACGACAATGAGTACAACCCTCCCACCCCGCCCCCTATGGTCCCAACGTTTTTTCTCGCCGGTGTGACAGGTGTTCTTGGCTCAGAAGTACATGATCCGGCGCGCGAACATCGCTGGAAAGCCGGTCGTGACGGCGACGCAGATGCTGGAGTCTATGATCAAGAACCCCAGGTATGTACGTGTACGGTGGCAGCTGCAGGACTGACAAAGAGAGGAGGGGAAGGGTACTGCCGTGAGGGCATGTCAGGATGCGCCAGCCACCGTTGGAGAACCTGAGAGTTGGTTGGGAGTTGATGCTCGTGAGATTGCTCTTCGCTGAGTACCTGCTCTTGGCGATGAAGTTCTTAAAGAAACGTTTCTGTTTCTCTTGAGTATCCCGTATGGGGTGGGCGTGGTCAGAACGCGCCAGCCAGACCACATCTAGAGAACCTTACCAAGACTTCTTGAACCTCCGGTCAGCATGATGAAATTCTCCCCCAAGTACATCTAGGGCGTGGTCAACGCGCCAGCCATCGCTGGAGAACCTTGCAGAGTCAGTGAGAATTTCAGCCATCATGACATCCTTAGCTGAGTTGGTGGTTTAAGTTCTTCCAGACTTGTCTTTTCCTAGGTATTTTCCAGGGATGTGCACGGTGCGGTGCGGTTTAACCGCACCGCACCGCACCGCACGGTAAGGATTCACAAATAACCGTAGTTGCGGTCTTGTTACGGTGCGGTTTGCCCCACCCCGTAGCCAAAACCGCAGTAATCCCGGCAAAAAAACGTACCGCGGTAGGTAAGGTACGATACCGTGGTGCAGACACGCACACACCAGGAACATTGAACATTTGTCTTGTTTTTTCTTTTGAACCAGCATACACGCAAACACCTAGTTCCCACATCACACACCCTGCGACACACACACCGCCGCTGAGATACGCTCCGTGCACAACTCCGCCCATCTCCGATGGAGTCACCCCCCGATGGTGGCGACCAGGAGGTGGTCGCCACGCGTCCATCTCCTCCTCCCGGTGGTTCTGCCACTGCCATGCTGGTGCTGCTGATGCCGCTCAAAGTGGGGGCACCCCGAAGACAGTTGGCAGCGTGCAACGCACCGCCGTCAACGCATTCGCGGGTTGTAGCCAGTAGCGGGCATGAGCCGCCTGCCTGGTGGTGCTGCCAGATGTTCCTTCATTTTTTCTACTTCGCATACTCGCATTTTCGCATATATATTCCAACAACAGTAGTCGTAGTAGTAGAAGCAAGTGAGGAATGTAGGTCGTGTTGTAGGAACGTATGGTGACTGGGAAAATGAAGTACATGATCAGTAGCTCCTTGTTTTTCTGGGGTTTTCGGGTTTTCTGACCGCGAGCCGCGGGATCCGTCGTGCCGGCCTCATTACAATGGACTAAACCTTAACGTATTCCACGAAAATAAACAATCATGAAGACCCCGTCATTTTGTCACACGGACAAGCGTGGAACTCCCCGCGGTGTTCTTCGACGGTGCACCGCCGCCAAGGCCGCGGTTCGCGCGGTTTTTGTCACGGGGTAGAAAAAACCGCACCGTCGAACAAAACGTGTGACGGTGAACCGCACCGTCCCGTCAAATTTCGAGATGAAAAAATACGCACCGCACCGCATCGTCGAATTTGGAGAAGGTAAAAACCGCACCGCACCGCGGTGCGGTTCCACACCGTTAACATCCCTGGTATTTTCATGGCCACGAACTCCCCAGAGGTACCTACTGAAGTGCATGTCACAACGTGTTCGTTTAGTTTGTAACAAGCAAGAAACACCTAAAATGTCAACAAAAGAACAGGGTTAATGACCAGCAACAAAAGATGCCGCGGAACCAACTTGAACTGACGGATATTTTCGTCGTTGCCGGTGTACTCTTCAGACCCACCCGCGCGGAGTGCACAGACGTCGCTAACGCGGTGCTCGACGGCACGGACTGTGTCATGCTCTCGGGCGAGACCGCTAACGGAGACTACCCGGTGGACGCGGTGACGATGATGTCGCGCACGTGCTGCGAGGCCGAGTGCGCGCTCAACTACGACAGCCTCTACCAGGTGACTTTGGAGGTTTGGAGGGTTACATCATGAGTATGTTGCGCCGCGTGGAGGTTGTGGTGGCAGTATTTGCTTGAAGGTTGGTACGGGTTCTTCTGGGGGCTGGTTGCAAATCATGTACTTGAGAAGGTGTAGAGGAAGGGAACATATGCTCAGGCTCAAGCGCGGCCCTCAGGCGTACTCTCAAATCGACACGATAACGTTACATGGCGCCACGAGCCGCAGGTATTTCGTACCAGTAGTAATTTCTATTGCGGGATCAAGGCATCCCCGGCATCAGTACGAGTGGTTCTACAACGACTCCTTCTGTTCAAAATAGTTTCGCGTGCACGGACGCGTAAGGTACATTCATCTGCGGAAGGATGACGTCTTATCGGGGGCATCCCATCGAAGTTTCCTCCTCTCGCTGTGGAGCCCCACTCGAAAAGCGCATCAAGTCCTACCGTGAGCACCCACCCTCACCTTCCCTCCGTCATCCTCTGGTTCTGCCGGGAATAAGCATGTCCCTTTTCAACTATGTTTTACACACGACATATCGGCTCGCGTTTGAACTCCTCGCTCCGATGTAACAAACCTTTCACGGGGAATGTTGCACCACCCAACCTCTGTTTCCATACCCTGGTCTACCCTTTCGCTTGTATGTCATGTAGTCTTGGACGCCGTCCTCGCTCCTCAATCTTTTCTGACGCACCACACCCTGCGCCCCCCCCCCCC